GGTGGTGGTGGTATAGAGTCTCACTACGTAACCCTGGCTAGCCTGGAACTTGATGTATAGAACAAGCTAGATTCAAACTCAAGAGATAGGCATCTTCCACCACCTGACTCCTCAGATTAAAGGCAAGCAACCACCACATTTGGTTTGTATTATTATATTTGAAGTGAGTTTCTTGTAGATATCTTATAGCTGAGAGACAGACATTTAATCCTCTTTGCTCATCTCTAGCTTTTTCTGTTTTGGTCTTTTTCAGACAGGGTTTCCCTGTAACCCCAGCTTATTTGGACTTGCTATGTAGTCCAGTCTGGCCTGATCTCACAGAGATCCACCTGCCTCTGCATCCTGAGTGCTGGGATTAAATCTGTACACCATCATGTCTGGCTTGCTTATCTCTATCTTTTGATTGGTGTTCTAGTTTGATTTTTGTTGCTATGATAAACACCATAACCAAAAGCAACTTGGGAAGGAGAAAGTTTATTTTTGCTTATAGGTTATAGTTTATCATCTAGGGAAACCAGGATAGGAGCTCAAGCAAGAATCTGGAGGCAGGAACTGAAACAGAGACCATGAAGGAATGCTACTTACTGGCTAGCTTCTGGGCTCATGTTCAGTTCCTTTTCTTATACAGTCTAGGCCCACCTGCGTAGGGATGGTACCACCCACAGTGAGCTAGGCCCACAGACATTCCCAAGGGCCATCTGATAAATTCTTCAACTGAGGTTCCCTCTTTCCAGGTGTGTCAAGTTGACAACTAAAGTTAACTATGACAACCTAAATTTGTTATTACACTTTTTGTCTTCGCTCCTTTCCTTCCGTGTGTGTGTGTGTGTGTGTGTGTGTGTGTGTGTGTGTATGTTTTACAGGGGATTGAACCCAGAGTCTGACTTATGTTAGGCAAAAACTCTACCATTAAGCTAGCTCTTTTTAAAAAATTTATTTTGAAATACTGTCTCCCCTAAGTTCCCCAGACTGGCCTCGAACTTCTAATCTTTCTGCCTCAGTCTCCCAAGTAGCTTAGCTTCCCTGCTTTTTGGTGAGCTAAATACTTGATAAGAGTTTTAATTTAATTCATCTATTTTTTTGGGGGGGGATTCTTTTTGAGATAGGGTCTTCCTATAGCCCCAGCTGGCCTGGAACTCACTATGTCGACCAGGCTGGCCAAACTTGAGATCTGCCTGCTTTGGCCTCCCAGTGCTGGGATTAAAGGCGTGTGCCACCGTACCCGGCGCATCTATTGATTTTAAGTGTATTTCTGTCTAACTCTTTAAGCAATAACCCCAGGTAGTGTAGTATGTGTATATAACTAACCAGAGTCTATCAGTGTTGTGAACTTACCACATTTAGTGAAGTAAAGACTCCTTACCTTCCTTGACATTGCTTCATCATATATGGTTTAAAATTCCCTGTATTGAACAGGGTTTTAGTT